TTGGGGGAAAACACTTGTCGCAAATATGTGACACTAGGCGCAACGCGTTAGTTTTACCCACCAACAGGTAATATAACAACAAAGAAAAGCACAAAACCACAACGACAATGACTTCCAACAAATGCCACATGTAGTAACCCAAAAATAAGATCCAATTCAAAATGTTCAAATTATAAAACGAAATCAGGTTATGAGCTCACAAGAATGCGTTTTTGACATCATGCAATCTATAGTGAACCTCGCCAAAATGTCGACTAGTCCAGATGCATTAGCGTAACGCCACGAAGAATAAAATAAGTAGACATTGCATGTTCATACTTCTGAAGTGAGCATGCTGAGTGATTTGAGAATTGCTTGAACTCCCAGAAATCATCATCCAAAAAGTTCAGTTTTTTCAGCTCCTCCTCAATAACCCCACTTACCACCTGGGGGACAGTTATATCCGACAAAAGAGGAATATATCCCTTACGTGCACAAATGGGTAAACACACTTTGTTATCTATGTGCCATTTTGTTCACTGCGACACCAGATCTACACTGCTCTGCGAATTCCCTTCATGTCATCCTTATCCACATTCACTTCTCTATTCATCACTCTCATCTCTTCCTTCAACACGTACTTGCGGTGCTCAGCTTTCACCTCCTCTCCCACCTCTCCACCAATCCGCTGCTGGACACAACGACCTCCGCCCCCGTTTTGTCGAAATCGACAGCTAACCGAAGATGCCTCTCATTTCACTCTCTCCTTGCACACCCTGTAACTCGGCTGGCCCTGCTGCTGCCGCCCCAAAGGCAATGGTACTTGTTGTCTATGCAGAAAACAAACTCTTACAGGATCTGTGTGGCAAATTCAATTAGGACATATCCAGTAAATGCAATGGTAACGTTTTAATCAAGATTGGAAATTATAAATAATAACTAGAGAAGTACACAATTTGTACTACTTTCAAAACGCCTTGAACGTCAAATTTTATACCTGAATGTCATATAACCTCGTCAGGAATTAACACGAGGGTTGCATTAGAGACAGTGGAAAGTGAACCTACGGCAAAAGCGCAGCGATATTAATCTTATCAGCCGAATACCATGTCAAAACAACACACAAGAAGTGCTGACCTGCGATGGGCAATGCTAGACTGATTTGAAGGGACACAAACCTTGATGAATGGCTGATATGATTCGTCCACTCCACGCGAAAAGGCGAATTGACGATGGTCAAACTGACAACACACCACTGTCAAATAAACACATGGATAATGGGTTCCTTAAACAAAAATCAATTTAGGCACTAAATTCGCCTCATCCAAAACAACTTTTTAACGTGCACAATAATTGGTGAATAGTTTCGACTGCATTTCCTCACAAGGACATGCCACTTTTATCACATCTGCCCATCACTAACGTAGAACTCGAGAATCTCTCTGGCTGAACTATCGTCATAGGATCGCCGCTTCTGTCTGCACAGCGGTTGTGGAGGGAACAGAGGAGAGATCGCAGGCAGCATTAGGGGAAAAGTTGGAAAAAGGGAAAAACTATGTCGCGAGTATACGTTTAACTGCACAGGTCTACGCTCGAACACAAATAAAGAACGCATATCAGTTCAAGATCTGCAAAATTCTCATGTGGCTCAACACCACAAACTACCTAGTGCTCCATTCCAACACCAGTGATGTCAACTAACATAATTTACATTCTCTCCGCCAATACTTAATTCCAATTCCAGAAGGTGGCTGCCGAAACAACAAAGACAAGTGGACTCAGCAGCGGTTGGGACACATATGTTGGATTGAAGGCGATCCCAGAAATATAAGCAAATGCGGTGATTGCCGGGTGAAAAATGCCACTTGGTGTCCTGCCTTCCTAATATGGTCCAGCGCAAGAGTTTACCAATGAAGCGATGCTCTTTAAGCACCAATCAACATGGAACAGTTGATTTGGATAGTGGTACGAGACCCATCAAAAGCACCGAAATAGATGGTAGAGATGTAATACCTATTTTTGACTTAAGCGTGTGAATAATCAACAAGCTAATGAAGTCCCACAGAGCTTCAGCAACACAGGTACTCAGTGCTGCGCACAGCAAAGTAGCAGCATCCCGTCTACTAGGTGATATCTCAGTAGGCATCCTTACACGATGACCAAGGCATGCGACAGACTCATGCTACTCATTTCAGATTCAAGCAACCAATGGACATTCCAAAAAGCCACAAATATTGGGAAGCATTAACAAATGCTTTTCAAACATCTATTCATTGCCTATTTAAATAGAGTACCTGTCAAGATAACTGTGATAGATGGGGTTACACTTCAAAAGTTGGCAGATTTGTAGTACTGCCAATGCATTTTTACCGAGAAAAATACGTACCAATCAGTAGACATCTGTAAAAGCTTTAACCTCATAAGCAGAACGGGCATGACTGTTGATCGGGTTGAGGTTAAATAATGTCCCTGATGCTTCTAACTGTCTCCACACTCAACACTTTGATGACCTGCCTCTTTCCAAAGCAACTGCAAACGTTGATCTCCTCCACCATGGGAATGTTTTCTGGTGACGATGAGGTTTGTTTGTCTCTTCCATCATCTTAGTGTCTTCTAACCAGATAATAATGAAGACGCATCAGCTTTAGAAGCAGACGTCTCTTCATCCAAGCACAAATTTGACTGTCGGCCTAAATAAGGGGCAAAGAGAAAAGAGCAACAAATACACCAGTCTTGATGAAGCCCATGTATTCAAGACGATGCCTTACAATGAAAAAATATTACAACGGAAGCCACGGAAGCAGTTATTTACAACACAATGAAGGCTAAAGATAAACAGATGCAATCACATCCACCTATGGTGGCCAATTACGAGCATGCAAATCCTTGTGCCCATACCATCTCACTCGGCTATTTGAAGGAACGTTTCATCCCGACAGAATTCGGCCAAACTTCTGACCACGTCAGAATTGCTACAATATATCAGTGATAGTGGACATGACTGGAAAAGCACCGACTTGTAAAAAAAAAAAATATTATAGCCAAAATGGGAAACGAATGAATCTGATAGAATTTCTCCTTGGAAACACGCCAGCTAAAAGTATGTTGAATTTCATCTTGACCAAGTGGGTTCCGCCAATCATTGGTCCTTCATTTCCATGATCTTTACCAATTTGGGAAATAGTTGAGGCACAGTAATGGGAATGACGAGAGCAGAGGAAAGATGCTCGACGAATGATTGTCAATTGAATTTGCACCAATTATTGAACCTGAAGGAGCTTCATTTGATGAATGTCGGTCGGTAGCCAGTGTTTGGTTGAGCTCAAGCTTCCACGCTGCGGAAATGAGCTTTTCAGCCGTTAGTGGGCTTGCTAATTTTGACAGCATTCTTAGAACGGACAGCAAGCAAAGGTGGATCAGTGAGACGCAGGCTAGAAAACATGCCCACCTCTTAAAGACCCTAATTCAAGCAAATGTGTAATTCAAAAAAAAACACATTCATACACAAATAAATGAATGCTCTCTCGTCTTACTATTGAGACATATGGAGTACAATGTTGTGACGGCTAGGCAAAATCAAGTTTTCCTT